ACTCAATATGGGTGGAAGGGAATTATATTACAATCACTACACCAATAAATATTATAATACATTATATATACAATCTTAACTATCTCTCCTATGATAAAGCGGTATTTACAATGGATCAAATCTCTTCTCCCTCCAATAAAAGTCCAGAAGGGAAGAAGGAAAAGGTCTTTTCCACGTTCAGGGCAGCAGCCTCTCTTCTTCCATGCAAGATCCATAGCTGGATCTCTTTCCATTACACACAGGGGGGGGTCTCCTTTCACTCCTCTCGGCCCTTCGACTCCAAGCGAAGGTTTCTCTCTCGTGGGCTGCGGTAGCCGGGACAAAAAGGCTCACTTCACCACATCATATCACGAAGTTTGGGGGTCTTCGTGATGGTCCCTCTCCTCAGGGGGTTTACCCCTGAGTCAGAACATCTCGGGCAACTTTCAGTTGAAAGCCTTTGCCTCAAGAGTTCTACCAGAGCTCCTGTGCTCTGTCTCAGGCTGCCAGCTTGGCAGCAGCAGCGGGGGGCGCAAGGTCACCCCCTCCGCATTCCATTTGGCCATCCTGGTCCAGCTTCCAGGACGCCTTTGAGCTTCGTAGCTCCTCTCTCCAGTACTGCTGCATTCCAAGACTCCCCTCAAGTGGGAGTCTACCACCCCTCCTCTCTAGGAGGTGTCTCAAAAGGGGTTTTGGGGGTTTTTGGTTCAGTTCTTACCCCAAAACTCTGTCCTTAGAGCTTAGTTCTCTCTCTCTCCATTAGAGATCTCTGCCTCTCTGCTTAGCTGCATGCTTTCTTCTTATCTCTTGGTTTTCAGCCATAGCCTCCGTTCTCTGCTGTCTCTGCTGCCGTTCCTGCTGCTGCTCACAGCGGAGAAACTCCTCCAGCTCTCAGCTACAGAACTTGGCCCAGTTTAACACTGTTCCAAGTTCTTGTAGCTCCCCTGCCGGGGGCTGGAGGGGCCTAGCCCCCAGCGGAGCTACTGCCCCTTCTCCTCGTGGCTTCAGAACATGGCCACTCTCCTCTTCAACTACCTCATCATCCTTCTTTTCCGGTCTGGTGTGATATGTTTTAATTTTGCAGGAGTGCTGACTGGGTCCCCACCAAGAGAGACACCACCCCCTCGGGGATTACCATTTTTAACTCCAGGGTGAAAAACCACTTTTTTTTCCTCACCACAACAGCTTTGCATACTGACTCCTGTTTATCCCGTGCCACGCTAATAATTTAATATATTAAAAATATACAGCATATTATTTTGAGTAGCAAAATATTTTACTGCCAGATTTATTTTTTTTTGTAATCAAAGATGATTCTCTCTGTTCACCACAGGCAGAGCAAAGGGCATCCAGCAGAAACTGTCTGGTTATGTAACCGCCAGTCATCCAGGTTCCTCTAGTCAAAGTAATCCTTGCCTACAGAACAGAGCCTTCTCAGAAGCACAACGTTATTTTCTGTCTGTGAATTTTGAAGCTGCAAGTTTGATGGCCTTAAATTCCTTTGCCACTGAAAAAAGGAAGGTTTGTAGAAGTATCTTGACTTCCTCGCAGGATGTGAATTGTTGACTCCAAACAAATGTCCTGTTTGGAAATTAATGTTCCTGTCTCCCAGATTTATATGCCAGTCTCTTTTTATTGAAACCTTGCTGGAATAGAAATATTCCAGTGTGTTTTGGGGATCGATTTTATTAGATTACACCACTCTAGACTAGTTATTATTGACCTCTTTGTATTTAGGTGCTGTTGGGGATTGGTTTAGAGTGCTTATTCTGCAGGAGGATTCATGTTACATCTTGTAGTTGTGTTGTTAAGATAGCGTTACCAGCTTAAATTTTCCTGTGTGTTTATTTAACAAATAGAAGGCTCTTTTAATATGGATTGCCTTACTTGTTTACAGTTTTTAGGAATGAGACCAAGTCCCTAGGGATCTAGTCTACATTTGTATGGGAAACAGTTGTAATTTTGTCAATGTTGAAAGTTTTTTCTGTCCTTTTTGCATTATTCTGATGTCAAAAAACTTTTAATAAAGTATCTCTGTTTAAGTTGCTGTGAAGTTTTTGGAATTTGTTTCTTTCTAGAACTGAGCTAAAAGTTGAATGACTCTTGAATACTTGAAACTGATAAGGCTTTGAAGCGGAAAAAACATCCGTGTAAATTGAACAGTGGCTTTTGAGTTACAAAGATTTCTTCTGAATAATGAGTAGCATTACTTCAGATTTGGAAAGTTAATTCTTTAGAGCTTGAATATAGCTCTGCATAACTTTCCATGCTTTGTCTTTCCTCACAGATTAATTCTTACTGGACTGGTTTTTACTACAACATACAATCTGAGCAGGTTAAACAAGCAGAACAGTAACATAAAGAAAAATTTGGAAGTACTGTAAATAGTTATCTTTGATATAGTCTGATGTATTTTTCAATGCATGGCCAGAACTTCTGAAGTTGATTGAACTTTTTTTCTAGAATTAGTCTCATAGCAAACTTTATGGCTTTTTAACATCTTTCATCTTGGATAAGTTCCCTTTTCTGGTGAACAACATGGTGGCATTTCAACCATGTGCCAGCAGAAGGTGAAGGGGGGTGATGGGCAAGGGTTATGCAGATAGATGAGCATTGGGTATCTAATTCTTAGGTCATGGTAGGAATCCTCCTGTATAATCAAATATTCTTGGTTATAGCTTTTATAGAACCTGGTTTTTGTCACCTGGGTGATGAACAGTGCTGTAACTGATCTGAACGTGTAGATAGGAGCTGCTACTTGAAACTATAATTTTTTTCTACAAGGAGGTCGTTGTACATGAATCTTGTTAATGCTGTGGTAAATCAGCACTCTTGTGATGGAAGACTGAAAGAAATATGGATTTTAGAAGACTTTTTTTTTTGCTGTTACAAGAATTTCTGTAAACAAGCACAAAGGGTGTTGGGAAACACAACTGTCTCTTCTGTGGAGTGTGTGTGTTCACTCTGACCTTTAGAGTGAAACATCCTACCACAAGGTGGACATCTTGTTTTGCTTTTATTTTTAGGCAATACCACCACAAAACTTCCTACACTTCCCTGCAAGTGCCATAACTTCTGAAAGCACTTGATCTGAACTGCTTCTGTTCTCTTACTTTCTCCCCATCCTCCCACACTGAAGTCCAGAGGTACATATTGATGAGTGCAAGGTGGGGTGGACTGAAAAAAATCATCCTCAAGCTTGTGTAGGGATGTGTATCTTGTGCCACTGTATGCGGCAAATGCCAGTTTTTAATGGCAATTATTTTTTGTTTCCTCCTCTGTCACACAATGTCTAAGAAACCACTTGTTTCTGTTAGTTTGGGACTGCAAAGTGCACCACCTCAGCTGCTGTGGTTACTGCCATAATTACACCAACACAGGTAAAGGTACCTGACCCCTGGAATATGAGCTCCTTGGCTTATGTGCAATGTTATGTGAAATGTGTTCATGTTTTCTGGGAAAACATGAAAATTTACTCAGGAAATGCGCCAGAGAAGAAGAAAACAATATCCTAATTAGCTCTGTAGTCACATTCAAATTGTGATTAAAATTTTGGGAGGTCTTTCTATTATTACTGCTACAGTAATATGTAAATGTTATTTTTAGGTACATTCAGCCCTTTCTAGAGTTGGCAAAGATACAGATTATCCTGATCTGTTACGCAGTTGACATAAGGTACAAATTCCATCATCCTGCACGTGAAAACTCCTCAGTAATTTAATGCTTGGAACTAAAAAAAAAAACACTTTGCCAGAAATGTATCTGCTCAAATACAATTCTTCCTGTGGAAAACGGGAACACTCTTCCAGCAAGGTAAAGCATTCCTGGATGCTTATCCTATCTCTATAAAGTTTGATTTTTTGGTCTGTTTCACAGCAAAAACAGCAAACCTGTAAACTGCATTGAGTTTATAGTGGTCCTTATAAAAACCCCAGTGTAATCAAAATTGGTACAAATTAGTTCAAAGTGTTGTTGACTGTAGCTTTTGTGCTAAAAACTGTCTTTGACTTTTTTCTCTGCTGCATATACCTACATCATAATTGCCCAAGCAGACAGCACAATACAGACAGAAAAATTAATATGTAAATAATGTAAATACTTTTGTGTTCAATAGATGCTAGTTATTGATTTATAAATTAAGCAGTTTTAAAGGTTGGTCTTAGTTTAGTTTCTCCATGAAAATTTGTCTTATCACTGTAATTTATAGTAAAATTATAGTAATTTGAGAGTTCCTGGATTGAAAAGGATGTTTATTATTTGTGAAACAGTGCCTTTTATATGCGTGCTGCACTGTAAGCAGTATAAGTACTTCAAGTAGGAAAAAAAAAATACTGCTGCTTGTGCAGAAAGGCCACATGGTAACTGACTATGAACTATTTCTCTCCAGGTAAAGAAAACAAGTAGTTCATGGAGACTAGAAGCTTTGAAAGGCCTTGTCCAAAACAGGGACTGGTGATTTTTTTATAAAGGCTGTGTGTGATGGGTGTGAATGCTTATTTAGCCTTTCTGGTTATATGATCATTTACCTCTAGGAAATACTAGGACACTCATTTTCAGTACTTGACTAGACTCATCACAGGGTTGTGGCAAAGCTTAGTTATTTTATCTCAGGTTTGCTTAGCGTGTGTTTATTGCTCAGAGTCCTTTGCTCCTCCTAGTTTCTCTTTAGTGAGTTTGCATAAAAACAGGACTTTTTCTCTGTGTGATTAATCCCAAATAAAGGTTCCATTTGGGAATTAATAAAGGAAGGTACATTTCAGCTTAATTTGATTGATTGATAGGATTTTCCTACAGTTAACAATTAACTCTTGGATGTGAATTTTCATAGAAAAGTTGTTTTGTACTTTTGTGAACAACAAAAATTAAGGGCAAGCAAGTCTGACTTTCTCCATAATATAAGTCATGGAATGAAACTGTAACATTGGTTTTCTCTGCAACTGCAGCATCTTGTTTTTGAAGGTGTGGTGTGTTTTGTTGTTGCTCTTAAGGGCACGTTGTAGATAGAATGTCAACACTGATTCTGTATTTTGGCAAGTTTTATTGGGAAAGTATCTGGTATGCTTACAATAGAGTTGGAAGAAAACCACAATCAGTTCTGTAATCTTTTGACACCAAAGAGAGGGAGAGAAATGTTTTGTAGCATTGCCACAAACAGATGTAAGAGATTAATCAGTAAAAGATTTAAGAACTGAAAACAATTTAAGAACCTGAAGATGTACCTCTTTGATTTTTTGAAAAGGCTGTCTTATGGGGAAATGCATGTGAAACTAACTTTGAGATGTGGAATAACAATGGATTAGTGTGGTGTCATCTTCAGTACAGCTCTGTTCAGTATCTTTATTGATTTGGTCAAGGGGGTCAAGAGTTCCCTCAGTAAATTCACAGACAACACCAACTTGGGTGGGAGTGTTGATCTGCTGGAGGGCAGGAAGGCTCTGCAGAGGGATCTGGACGGGCTGGATTGATGGGATGAGGCCAATTGTGTGAGGTACAACAAGGGGAAGTGTCAGGTCACAACAACTCCCTGCAATGCCAGGCAAGGTTGGGACTGGATATTAGGAAAACTCATTCACTGAAAAGGTGGTCAGGCATTGAAACAGGCTGCCCAGGGAAGTGGTGGAATAATCATTCCTGGAAATGTTCAAAGAACCTGTGGATGTGGCACATGGGGACATGGTTTGTGGTGAACGTGGCAGTGCTGGGTCAGTGGTTGGACTTGATGATCTGAGAGGTTTTTTTCCAACCTGAATTGTGTGATTCTATGATTTTGCATTGTCTAGTAGTTTTTAAAGATACTTTTGAGTACCGTAAACCAGTATTTGGCAGTAAAAAGGCAATACTGTTGCAAGGAAAATGGTTGTTTAATTAACCAGTTCTGTGTTAAATGGAGCTTGGTCTCATAAAAAGTAACAGATAAAGATATTAAATAAATTCACAGTTATTTTTTTTAAAAGGGAGAGCTTCTTTAGCTCTTTTAGTGCGTGTGCCTTCCCCAGCACCTATTCTCATATCAATTTGTGATGGTATCCATTGTATCTAAGGCTAGTTCCACATTTTGGCTGCGAGTCCCTTTATGCACTGAATTGCCACATTGCCCTGTGTGACTTTGTACTGTGAAACTGGTGCACAGCTGTTTCAATAAATTAAATGTAAATGACAGTTTAGGGGTCTCAGTTTGGCAGAACTATACAGCTGAGTAAAGAAAAAAATCACCACACCAAAACCTGAAGTATTTTTAATGCTGCTTGTATTGTGACTTTCTTCCAGCTGAACAGAAAGCTATGGAATTTCTAAATCTTTATGTAATGGGATAGACTAGTCTTGCAGGGGAAAAGACTGTAGAAGTAAAACTTCTTCACTTCGCATTGCACTCACCCCATTTATACTGAACCATAATAGGCTGCTTTTATCACCTGCAGTGTAAAATACTGATTTGAATACTGATGAAATACTGTTCCTTCTATATAAATTCTTACATGGAAGAATTGCCATGTAAATGGCAAGGCCAGCTGCATGAGAAGAAAGCTTAAAGATGCTGAGAAGCAAACTAAGTGACATTTAAAAAAAAAAAAGGTGGTCCCTTATCCTTTCATTGTTTAACTTTTATTTTTTGCTTAGCTGAGAGCTCTTTAGGAATAGTGATGCCTTAAGCCCCTATTAGTTTTTTATTTTTCTAATTTTTGTAAGCTTTGTAGGTTTTATAAGTAGATTTTAAAAGCAGCAGCCCTCACTCCCTTTCCCTGTAGTACAAGTAGTTCACACATTTCTTACCCCATTCTGTACTCCCCATATCAAATCTACCCCTGAATTCACTGGCAATGTTTAGTCTCTTGTCAAGGCAAGGCCTATACCGTTTAGAGAACACCCATATCTAGGCCTGAACAACAAAACAGAGTCAAAAACTAGGTGACTATGTACCCTTTGTGCTCTGAAGGTGGTGAAGATGATGAAGAGGTGGTCCCAAAATACATCCCAGACTCAATTTTAAGGGGGTGGACCCAGGGTGGACACACTTGGGATTGGACGGATGCTATTATAAAATGTAACATCTCAAGCACAGCCGGTCTTGTAACATCTATTGCCTTAGCACAATTAAACCCTTTCCTTATCTCACCCCTAATTAACTGCTCCTGAGTTTTTTTTCCTTTAGCACCAGCAGAGCAGGCATCAATAGCATAACAAAGGTGTTATTGTACTGCCAGAAGCTTTGCTAGCTGTGGCTCCTGCTGCAGTTAATTTGGTCTTTCACATCTCTTCAGACAAAAATGAGTGTTGCTACTGTATGATAGTTGCTGTAATGATCCAGTTTTAAAGTGGTTTTGGGAGAAGAGATCATATGTGAACAATTTCTGTTGCATTTCTGTGAGCCTTGCCTTGCAATGACTGGGTGCAGACAGTAAAAGAACTACGTAGCTAAATATGGCTACAGGCGTTGAAGTTAGAACAAAGGAGGCTCCCTGCCAAAGTTAAGGTGGAGTTTCAGGAGACTGAATGTGTGCCCTCATCTCCTATGGACACCTGTTGTGGTCCAATTAGCAGTGGACAACAAAGAATGTTTTCCTTATGTATCCAGTGCTGTGTGAAGAAGAATCACGCGTCTGAGTATAATAGGCAGTATATAAAGTGTCTTCCTTCTAATGAAGCCGACATTTTGCTGATCAAATTGGTCTGTGAGTAATCTGTCCATGCCTCTTCACTGATAAAGTGGTTACTGGAATTTTGGACTTGGTGGGGCAACAGCCTCAACTAGCTGGAAGAAAAAGCAACTCTCATCAGGGAGATTCTTCTGTCTGTGAGTCTTTAGTTCAGAACAGAAGTGGGACTAATAAGTAATCTCCCAACTCCCTGTTCTCATATTTTAGGAAAAACAAGGAAGAATACAAGAATGCTTTTTTCCATGGGTTTAATGCAACTGTAAGTGTCTGACTGGATCTTTTCCAACACTTTTTTTCCCTCAAGAAAATACATGGGACACTGCTACTGTGACTTCACCAGCCACTTCTGCTGTACTTCTGCATCAAGCACAGAAACTATATTAGTAATGTATTTGCTAAACTGGACCATACTTTTCTCTCTGGCTGCTCTGCAGCATACCTTCTTCAGATAAAATAAGCTGTCTTTAAACAAAAAGTAAAACTTGAAATATGAGCTGGGCCAAGTCACTGTGGTGATCTGTGTGCATATAACATGCAGCTTCATTTGAATAATTGCTTTTCTAGTTGCCACTTAATTCCATGTCCTCCTAATTTTTTGCTTCACAAAACAAACCCAATAATAGTACTTGCTAAGAATAACACTTCTTTCATGGGCCAGCTTTCTGGGGCATCTCCCAAAGAAGCAAAAGCAGTAACAGTTCTGAAGCAAGCTTATCTGAAGCAAAGGTATAGGCATTAAAACCCTGTCTGACAGTGTCCTCATCCAGCTGGATCTGCTTTATTTCTGTGCCCAGCAGGTTTTCTTTTAACCTGGAACTCTGCTAAAGTGCAAGTTCAGTCTTCTACCCACATAGTTAAGTGACCTTTGGGAAGAGGGTTTATTAAAAAAAAAACAAAACACTACAGGTTTTAGGCTATCATAGAGTTTGTGATATCCATGTATTCAGAGTCTTGTATAGTTTTCTCTGGAAGAGAAGCAGTTATTCATGGCCAAACGTGACCAACCTCTCACCTTATTATGAGTATAGATCCGCAGGTTCATGATTTTCCTACATCTTGCTTTTAAAGTAGTTTTATGTCAGAATGAGGCTATTATTGCTTTATATAGTTAGTTGATTTTTATATCCCCATGAAATTGACAGTTACAAAGAATATTGTTAAATAACATGCTTTCAGCTAGACTGGTCCACAGACAGAATAAAGATAACAGATTTGGCTTTGTGTACTAGGCTTTTTTTCTCCCACAGAGCACACACAACATCAAATAAGTTCATGTCTGATGGTAAAGACACATAATACTTTGAACTTTGAGTGACAAATTATTAGCCTTCCTGCTATGTCTTCCTTTTTGTTTTCAGTTCCCACAGAGTTTGGAAAACAAAGCACATGATGGCATTGCCATCTACACACATTTCTAAAAAATTAAACCAAATTCGTTGTATCAAATTCTAGTTCTAGCAGCATTTGCCAGTAAAATTTTGTGTAATTATTTCAAATAAGTCTACCTACATAACTGTGTCTTCTGAAAGTAAAGAATTGTTGAAGAAATTTGGCATAAAATCAAGGGGAAATAGATCATGTCATCCAGGAATAAGGTCTAGTCTTTGCACTCCGAATTCAATTTGGTCACCACAGTAAGCTCTCTATTAATTTTTTTTAAGAGATGCCTTAGTCTTAGTGCTACCATGAGAGGTCAGGGTTTCCATACACTGCTAAATCTACCTGTCAAGCTGAAAATTCTGCAGCTTTAAAATAATGTAGGAATATGAAATTATAAAAAGAAAGCACTTTTAAAACCTGTTGTCCATTGTTAATTACCACAGTTTAATACTTTAAACAATAAAAAAAGCTTGCATCGCTCGATGATGCAAGAATTAACACAAATTTGTAGAATCCATACAGTACCTGCTAAATAAACAAGTTTGGCAGCTTAGCAAATATCATACGATTGCAGCATCTGTGATTTGGATCGAAACAGTAGTTCAATCCTCTGCAAAGAATTTGTAGATGGGAATAGCACGCTCCTGGGCTCTGGGCAGTGTCTGAGTTTAAGGAAAATATTCTTAGTGCTTGGCCCCTGTGCAGACCTGCCCAAATCAAATGATTGTCTCCTTTGAGTTCCTTTTGAGGGGCTGTAGGCCCAGCAGGGACTGCTGCTTGTGGGGGACGTGAGCAGACTTTGGGGTGAGCAGAATCACCCTCTGATTGGTCTGACGCCATTCATTGTAGAGCCTGCAGTGATACCTGAAGGACACCTGGGGAGAGAACAGAGATGGGTTCAGTCACTGTGCTCCTCCAAGGATTCAATGGGACTTGGAGGGAAGTGTCTTTGGGCAGAACAAAAAATTGAGAAGCAGCCTAACAGGCAAAAAGTGGTGAAAAGATGAGAACTACCCTGTAGGTGACTCGTGCCCCAAGTTGCCATAGCAGAGAAGGAAAGCAGCCTGTGCCTCACTTTCTGCTGTTGCCTACCTGTCCTTCCCCTTATTTATAACATGAAAAAATCAGACATCCTGCCTCTGTCTTTCCCAAGAACTAGAGTTGTTGACAGACACAGTGAGAATAAGTTTAGGATGCTTTCATGCTGTGGTTTAAAGCGACAAACAGTGCAATTGGATGGATGGTGAAGGTCTGCAGGCACCTAAACTCTGTGCAGGGTCATATGTTCTACCTTGTAATGCTTTATTGCTGAATGCATCAAAGTCAGGATTGCACAGAGGCAGCAGATCAGTGTGAGCCATCTGACAACATGTGTATCTCAATTTCTATTGTCTCCGAAGTTTTTTTATCAGCCAACCGATTTCCACCTTATTGTGGAAGAGGAATGCCTGACTGCTATGGATGTGCAAGATAGCTTGGCCCTGTGTTTTTAAAAAGTAGTTTACTACTTATTTTAGTGACAGCCAGGTGTTGTGGGAGTTGTATTTGTGTGAGATGATGTACATGTGCAGTTTAAAAAAAACCAACAAAACAACAAAAAAAACCAAACAAAAAATTGTAAATTGGGTTGGGACCTTTGGGGTGAAGTGTTCTTGAGCTGTGGGCAGAAGGGACCCATGCAGTGAATGTATCCTTTCCTTGCTGCAAAAAGGTGCTTTTAACTAAATAAATTGACTGTTCAAAAACATCCTACAAGGGCTAAAAAAATATTTTGTTTTTGTTTCATTATACCTTTATACAGCTGTGTGCTGTTAATGAGGGAAACCTATAAAGCTTTTGTTTACTAAGCAGTTTCCCAAAGGCACCTCTTCAACAGATGAATTGATTTCTCACCTTACATTCCCCTCTAGTCCCCCTGAAGGTAAAGCATCCTGCTTCTCCCTTCTGTGGAGCCTTGTATATGAAAGGAGAAATCTCTTGTAAAAAGACAGTTCATGTGGTGTATCAAGGAGGGTAAAAACACCCAAACATCTGCAAAGGTGGATGCCATGCAAAAGACAGTGACTGTTCAGGAGAGTGAAGCCACAGTTTAGGCTGAATTTTCAAGTAGCATCACATAAGATTCTTTGAGTAAAGGCTGCATTGTTAAGCCAGGCTTTAACTGCTAAGTTATCACAAGATACACTAGTTAAGTTTTTTTACAGAGGGTTCTTGCCTGGGGCAGTTTCCAAGTGATGTCAGTTACTGAATTTCAGCAGTCCCAGTTATTCACCCTAAATTGTTACACTGGACGAGAAACTTTTGAGATTCTGAAAGAAAGACTAGATTTTCTTGGATCCTTGACACATGAAACTCCCTTCTTGGTCTCTTCAGTAAGACAGCAAAAGGGGTGTCTACCTTTCTAACTTGGTCTAGCCGTTGTTTTAAACCAGCAGTTATGTTGTGCTGGAAGCTAAAGGATCGCATCCTGCTCTAAACCAAGCTGCTACTTGATTTTAGAGGAATTAAGACGACCTGCGTGCAAGAGAAAGCAGAGTGTGGCCCTGAATTCTTAGTTTAAATAGCAATCTCCTTTTTGTGTCTGGAGCTTTCTTCTCAGGAGTAGTAGGTGCTTTTTTTGGTGTGTGTACGTCAGTTGCAGTGATTAAATATAGAGGAAAAGCAGCAGCGGTTTTTTATGAGTAACCTGTCTGTCTTAGAGGAAGGGATAAAACAGTTTCTTGGGTGCTAAAAACAGCATCTCTCCTGTTCACTGCTCACTGGGGTAACTGTAGGTGTGTAAATAATCTATGTGCCAGCTTTTGCCTTCAGAGAAGAAAACTGATTTACTGGAAATGAAATAAAGTTTTAGTTTTCTTAATTTTCCCATGACCTAAAGGGGCATTATATCATGTTGTAATTCACCCCACAGCACCCAACACATTCCCTGCCATAACTAAGTAAGCAATACAGGATTGTCCCATTTGAAAAAAATTACAAGACAGGTTCTGGTGAAGAATTTTGATGGGATTAGCCTTCTAGCTTCAATCATTGAGTGATTCAGTGCCCTGAAGGGCTTCCTGCCTTGCCTTTCCCTGCTGCACACATTGCTTCCTTAGCCCATTCAGCTCCTACTGCTCTGAATAATAGTTTAGAGTGGAATTACAACTGTCCACAGCTCAATGGACATCAAAGATACCGTATTTTGATTAAATCAACTAAGGTATGAATTTACATCAGGCTCACTATCACCATGTTCTCCAAGTGCTAGTAACACATTTCTCTCTATGCTTTTGAAGGGATAAAAGTAATAAAGTGAACAGAACAGATTTTTGCCACTTCCACTGCAAATGCAATAGACAGGAATAGGGATTAAAGTAGAGGTGCTGCAGTAGTCTTAACAAGCAAAGTCAGATAAGTTCACGTGTCATGGTTAATTAAATCCAACTAAAAACTGCCTTTTACAACTTCTAACAAGTTTGGTGATGGTAAACTTAGTGTATTATAATTGACTGTAAATGGAGCAGCATTTGGGTTTCTAAGACAGCCATACACAAACGAAATTTGAACAACCTTTGCTTGCATACCTGACAGACATATCTACACACAGCACTGCAGAAAAAACAAGTGTGGCCTCACTGCTGCAGTAAATGGTCTGTCACAGGGCAGTGCTGCAGCTTCACAGAAAAGCAGAAACAACTAAAAGAGAAACACCACGAGGCAGAGGCAAAACTCAGCTTTCCCTGCTGTTGATTGCTGCCAACATCAGCCTGCAGTCCTCTATGAGTGAGACAGGGTTTCACTGTAACAAATGTGTAAATGAGACAATACCTCTGACAGCTTTTTTGGAGCTAGTTGTGAGGTAGCGTGGGGTTTTTTTGTTCCATCATCTTCACTTTTCCAAGCTTACTCAGGGCTCAACATGGGGGGTTTCTTGCAGTTCTCAGTGTGTCACCTCCTCAGAACCTTGTGCTGATCAAAAACTGCTGGAAGGGGTCAGCCTTGTGGTGTGCCTGTACCCACTGAGGAGGAGGGCTGTGTGCTGGCCCTGTAGGATTAGTGGCCATGCTAGCAACACAGGCAGGATGGGCTGATAGACTGGCCCCACTCAGGGCAGCACAGGCTTTTCTTGTCACCGGCCAGCACCATCACACCAGCATTTCTGTGGATGCACCCAATCTGCATCCACCCTGCTCTTCTCCGTCCCACACCAGAGCTAGAGGTGTGGAATTTCAAACTCAACATTAACCTGGGGGTTTCAGTTAACTTGATAAACACTGATTTTGGCAGCTGTCCCCTCTGTTCCCTTCATTTCTGCTGGGCCAACTGTCTGTCAGTGCACTGGGGCCAGGAACTGATCTCAGTTTAACAACTTGGCAAAGATCAAGTGGCTCTTAGGATGCATTGGCATACAAGTGACTCACACTGGGGTGCAGGATGCAGTTTAATCTGCACTGCAAAGGCAGCTGTGTTTTTACAGACCTTGGTGTAAGGTGTGTTCTGCTGTGGACCTCCCCCAGCACCATGAGCATGGGGAATGAGAAATGAGGAAAGCATGGGATGCACCCATACCAATGCTTTTGAAATGTAAAGTTGGCCACACGTTGCATTAGAATAAAATCTGAAACCCCCATGGCAGCCAAGTTGTTCACCTAAATCTTTTTTGTGCGCTGTACCTTCATATTTTCCACATTACTTTTGATGAAACTCCCTCCTGTAGCATCTGTCTTGAACTCCTTCATGTTACTTCCCTTCTCCTTCTTTCTATCTGCTTTGGTGTTTAGATTTCAGAATTCTGACCCCAAAACAAACTGCCTTTCTGGTTTTCCAGAGAACTCAAATGGTGTGGAACCAAGGGGGTTTCTTGCAGATGCAATTCACATTTACCAGTACGGAGGGTAAATACAAGCAACGCTCTGTGCAATGGCCCACACCCTCTACAGCACTCCCTAATTCAATTTCTCGGTTGTTCTTTCTCTCATTTCTGTGAGTCAAATAAAAACCCCAATGTAGGGGCGTGCCTGAGGGGCACAGAGGATGTGCCCAGGTACAGAGCCCAAGGAGCATGCCCCAGAGTTAGTAAACTGGTTGGTTAAGAAAGTCACATGATCTGTAAGGATAAAAGGGCGCGCGAGTTTGAATTAAATCTCTTTGTCCACAACACCGCACGAGGAGCATCAATCATTCCTTGTTATACAAGGGTCGCCGCTACATATGGCGCTCGAACGAGACATTTTTAGCTTATATTAAGCGAGAGATCTACCCTGAATCAGGTATATAAGTGGTAGTTTCCGGTTATCAGGTCTATTAGTTTGACTTGGGAATCTTTGACCACAAAAAACTTTGACGTCAGTAAACCCCGTGGTCTTAGTGGCATCTAAGAGACGGACAGTTAGTTTAGCGAGCTCGAAAAATATTAGGAAAGTGCACGGAAGAAGAGAAGAAAGAGTTAAGGAAGAAGCCGAGAGGTCAGAGCAGGCAACCGGAGAGAGCGGAGAGGGTCCAATGCAACATCAAAAGCGGTGAGTTTAGCTAAAAAGCATTCCGCACGCCTAAGACTGTTCCCTGGGCGAGTCGTGCCTGCAGCTCGGAGACCCGAGCCGTGGAGCACCTTAAGATCGTCAGGGAAAGGCCTGTTAGTCCCCCAATGTCGGTCGTCTGGTAAAAGCGGCATCCCGCTACCGACTGTGTGGACCACGTGCGAGAAGCGGTTTCGCTGCCGCCCGTACCATCCCAGCCCCACCGCACAACCCCGCATCGCCTTTCTGCCTAGCGGAAAGCGCAGAGCTCCGTGCCCGCTGCACCGCCGGCCCGGCACCTAGTGCCTGTTGCTTAGCAACTACTAAAACCGTAGTTTGAAAGTACCGGGGAAACGGCCGAGCCAAGCACGTGTGCT